CTCTTCCAAAAAGCCCGTGCTCAGACGCAGCACCCCAGGCCTGTCCACTGTCTACTTAGTGAAGAGAGCCAGAACCATGCCCGAAGCTCAGCGAAACCGACCTCAGCCCAGAGGACGGACAGGCCAGGGTCGGCCGCCTCTCCCCGGACTCTGTGTCTTACTCAGCCTATCTTTGGTGTCTCTTTATTACAAACCCCAGGAGAGATTCTGCCTCCTGAAAATGCCCGTGTCTCCTATTGCCCTGCGCCCCCCTCGTGCCTTCTCCCGTCACTGATATTGCTGCTGACACCAGCTGCTGCCGCCGGGAAGATCACCAAGCCCTGGAACATGCTGGTGTGATGGAGGGTCAGAGTACATTTTCACTCATTTAAACAGAAACCCTGGCCTGCCTGGTGGTGCGATGGGAATGCGCTCTCCAAGCAATGCTGAGTCCACATGAAGGTCACGGCTTGGCGCCGGGGTGACCTGCCCTGCCTGGCACACTCGTGATCCTGGTGGCTGAGAGGGCGCTGGGGCTGCAGCCTGACACCACGTTGAGCGTGCCCCTCCCCTCGTTCTCACACAAACCCAAGAATCTTTTTTTTTTTAATTTGCTATAGGGCACATGTGCTTGACAGAGAGAAAGACAGAGGGAGAGAAAAAGAGAGAGAGAACGCACCCCCCCCCAAGAGGATAACCATGCCACAATCCCTTTTCCTCCACTCTCCTGGGGTTTGGGGCATCCACACGCACACGCCCAGCATGTGTTTCAAGCCGCCAGGTCGAGGACTTGAACCACGCAGTCAGAATCCACTGCTTTAATCTCCACGCCACCTGGATGGTCCTCCAAGAATCTTGGTTTTTATTTTTTTTTAAAGTTTTCTAAGTACTGGGTGGTTGGAAAAGTCATGACGTATTTTTCTATGTTTTGCTATGCAAAAATGTGCCAAGACTTTTCCAACGACCCAATGTGCTTGGAGTAGCTTAGTTATGTGATGCTACTTTTCCAACTTTAAATTCTGTGACGTCTAAACACACACGTGCTCGGGAGGGAAAGGCAGCATCTGCATTGGGACTTGCTGTGCGTACACCCGGGGTGCCAAGAGCTACTGCAGATGTCAGCCATCTCACCAGTAACTGCTTAGGGTCCCTTCAGTGCCGAAATGATAATATTTTGGAGACGTTAAATTAAAATACATAACTAAAAATAATCCCACCCGCCTCTCTTGACTTCTTTTAATACGGCTCCTGGAAAATTCAAATGAAGCACTGCTCCTGGACAGCCCTGGGAGAGGAGCCTGGAGGTGGATGCCCTGCCCAAAGGCGCAGCCTCGCTCTCCGGCTGGGCGGTCTACCGCATCCCGTCCTGCCAATCATCTCCCGGTATGGCCCAAATCTCACTTCAAGTCCCACCGTTCCCCAGGATTTGCAGCTCTGCTGAACGGCGAAAAGACAGTGAGTCAGAGCACGAATCCGAAAGTGGAAGGCGGGTGCTCTGCGCGGTGCCCAGGGTGGGCACAGGCCTGCGAGCAGAGGACAGCGGCTGGGGCTCCC